CATCGTCATATTTTAAACTGTCTCCTTTAAATACAAAAAATATTATTTATTTACTATGAATATAATCTGATTACAGAATAAATGCAATGTTAGCTATCAAAATCGACTCTTGATAGTCTCACTGCTGAATTTCTGCTATAGTTTTTATGAATCAAATTCATTTGTAGGGACATAGACACAGTTTCAACTAATTTTTTTTTAAAACCAATCATTATGTGTACATTTCTTAACTAAGACATTTCTAATGATCAGCAAAAATTTGAACATTATTTGTTGCTTTGCAAAGGAGATACATAGCTTAAAATTCTTCATAATGTAAACAAGCTTTTTACATATAGAAAATATCATATTTGGATTTGTAACAAAACTAGCTTCAGCAAATCACTAGAAACTGTCTAATCGTATTAAGAATTAATTTCTTCATTGAAAAAAAGATCTGCTTTGAACGAACACATATTGGTATATTTAACCTTTGTAAGCAAAAACATGGCACAAGCCCTGTTTTCAAAACAAAGATTTGGAACTAAATCCGTTTTGTATCTCCACAACTGAAATTCAAATAGATATCATGGTGAACCTGTTGAGGATCGAATTTGCACAGTTTGCTTTAGAAATAATTGTATAAGACGAAATTCATTTTTTTAATACATTGTCCTTTGTACTCTGAATATCGATCAAAACTTTTTGAAAACACTGGCATTAATCAAATGACGTGGTCAGATATGGATTTACTATGTATACTAATTTCAAATTATCTTAGACAGGTTGCAAAGTGCTTACTGTATTTTTCATTTATGCGAAGACAGTCCTTTATGTTCAGAAAATAAAAATGTATTTCAGTGTCATTTTCATCTAACAATAATTCTTATAACAGACACTACCAACCTAGCATTCAAAATGCATAATTATATATTTATCACAATTAGGCTAATAGTTATGCACTTTTTTTCTTAACGTCGTGCTCTTCATTTTCTTAATATATTGTAGTTCAATTTTGGCATATATATAGGCCTCATGGGCCACCGGATGTTGATTGTTATTTTATACTGTCTGTAAAAAAAAAAGAAGAATTTAATAACTATGTACAAATGTCACCATAAAAATATATTACATACTTACTTATCAATAAAATTCATGTGTTTGTGAGTTAATTAAATTCTTTATATCCTAATCGGCTTCTGTGTTATTTATGAATCAAAATTTGTAATTGTGAGTTACTGAGAACCAAACATACCCGCAGTGCCGCTGTATCCATCAACTTTCAATTTGTATTTCTGGGACTCGCTTCCAATGGAAAATGTTGAGTATTTGGCAAATGCTTTTTTGCCTGAAAAATTCAGAAGATCCACCCTCAGTTCTTGTTTTGTTTTTGTGGTGAGTGAATGAATAACTTCGTTTCCTTGAAAACATTGGAATACTTTATTTTTTTGTCAAACTAAACGTGCTTCAGTTTGTAAAGTGAAAATTAAATATGAGTGTTTTTTTTGGGGGGGGGGGATAATAATATATGGTACAAAACAGTCTGATTAAAATCAGATCCTCGATCCTCTCGTGTAGCGACAATAAACAAAAAATAAAGGAGCGGATCGAGGATTTGATTTTACAGTGGGTACGAAATTTTTTGGGGAGGATAGACAAATATCTCCTGGGTGAATCACTAAGAAACTTTTTTTTCTCGAAATTGTTTACAATTTTCAAAGGATTACTTTTTTAAAATCTTGTCTTGAGCACATACATACCTAACCAGTATTCTCCTTCAGCTTTACCAAATCCTTCTTTATAAGAATTCCAGGATCTATAAAAATCTACAGACCCGTCAATTCTACGTTGAATTACCTGTTTAAGAAAAAAGAGGTTTCACTTATGTACATAACCCAAAGCACAATTCCAACATATTGTTTACTGATATTTTCTTTTTTGTAAAAATGAAATATTTTCCTTTATGCAAAAGTGACGATGAAGTGAAAACACTTCACTAAACATAATATTGATGTTTTTACATTACAGAACGTTTTAAACATTCTCACTGTCCATCCCCCTCCCTCAGTAGTCATATCACAGTAGACCAGTTTCTGTGTCTTCAAGTCGGGGTAAATAACATAGACGCCATTTCGTCCTTTTGTATTTGGAATAGATTTTAGAATAGCTGAACAATCCCTTGTTTTTTGTATGTCTGTAAAAGAATACATATGTGTATTGTTATTTTCATAAACTGAAAAAACAACCCATGAAAAAATGCAAAAAAGAAAGTTTTAATTCAATAATATTGATACTGGTATTGAGTGGTTAAGAAATTTTATTTTATTTATTTATTTAATTTTTTTTGGTAGCAGGCATCAAAAACAATATCAGGCATTTAGTTCTACATGTATCTTGCATTTCTATTTAAAACTAAGACTTCGTGTACTGACGTTGATACTTATTGAAGTGTTTCCCTGTGAGCCTGTAGTGGGACAAGACCGAAATGTCCACAGAGACCGGGGTGTCCACTTTGACTGAGGTGTTCAGGTGCTTCCAGTTCCAGGGAGTTAACTTCAGGAGGGACTGAACATTTCCTATACAATATAATCTATACAATGTATTTGAATAGCAAAATGTGCATTTACATGATTTAAATTAACATTAAACTTTTTATAAATTATAAATAAGACTTGTATTTTCATGAAGTATACACAGTACTTCTACATGAAAGTTACCTTTTATAAGGGAATGAGGTTCAACACCCAAAACTGCTGTAAAACAAGTGACAAAGCAGCTCAGTACATAAACACTCATAAATGAAACCATCATTGTGACATGTGCTTATAATACAAAGACATACTTTAAAAAAATATGTCTCTTTTATATACCGGGGTTTATTTTTGTCATCATTAAATTGTAAAACAATATTGTTCTCCTGACAATTTATAAAAGCTGTTTTATATATAGACAGAAAATTATATTTCTTTACGAAACACAGCATTATCCGATTTTATATAATCATATATATATGTTAAACAGAAAATGTGCCTTATTCCAAGTACTATAATATAGTATATTATAAAGATAAAGATGTGAAATTTTGACCTTAATGGCCCTTTTCTCATGACGCCAATCATATATATTAGTATAAAGATGACTGTCTTTCTAAAATAAATACATACTAGTGAGTTAATAAATTCTCACTCTTCTTCATCTCTGTATGTGTTTCTTACTTTCTTTTACTTTCAATATTTTCCCTGAAATTAATACACATCTTAACTGAACTACAGATCCTTATGCCCGATGTACTCGTGTCAAGGGAGGAATGAACCGTTAGTTTGCCTATGATAATTATATTTGTTTATTGAAAATCGGAAGACGCTTAGGAAATTTCAAATAATGAAAAAGTATATCAATTTTATAAACTTTTTTTCATTCATGTTATATGTATGTATCATACAGTAGAAGGAATCGATAGCGTACGTATATTGTTATACAATCCGATGTCATATAATCAATGTCTGGACACGCAACGTCAGTATTCTTCGCATGCTACGTTTGATTTAAACCACTTGGATCACTGTTATCATCGTACTCACAACATCACGGGGTCATGTGTCCGGTTGTGTCCACTTGTGGTTTTAAGAGGTCCTGATATTAGAATCCTTCATTTCTATGATCGCAGAGACAAAAATTGTGGTCTATGGTTAAAACCAAAATTTATAGTCTCTACGATTTCTTACTAAGATTTAATCTTTTTAATTGAACATGAAAAATACGAAAATGACTCCCTAATAGTTTTGTATGTCTAGCAGTAACTCGCTTTTTAAAAATATTCAATTCGATCCATCTCTCTCTCTTCTATACAGAAACTGTAGTGTCCAAAATAGATGTCATCTGGAACAAAATTCAAATTTAGGAAGAATTGGATCCTCAAAATGTCAAGGTTTTTTGATTTAGGAAAACTAACACACTTGTGTGTAGTACTGAAATCACAAAACCTGAACATTGTGATGATGGTCTTTAATTAATAAAAAAAAAAAACCTTTCTCACAGGTACTTGTGGACAGGAAAAGTATTCAACTTCGGTTTGTTTGGAAGAACTTTAGAAGATTTAATTCTACAAATGGTAATCCAACTTATACTCATGGTTCCATTAGGAAAAAATTCTTCAAAGTCATATGTCAGTTTTGAATATTCTTAATATCACAAAGAACCATAAAATGAATTTGAATTAGATTATCTATATTGGATTCTGAAACTTCATAAAAATTGTTACAAAGATACATATAGGGGTTCCAGCTCCACCAAGTCTATTTCTTTACGCCTTGCTAAGATATTAAGAGCCTGTCTACGAGAAAACCATGCAGATATATAGAAAAATGCTCTGGTAGGCACTCTCAAGAACAAACTAAATTTTATTATTAACTTAAAGGACAGTCATTGAGAGTCAGAAATATGTTGCTTATTTTTGCATCGGTTGTTTCTATTTTTAGTAATAGCCAATAATTCATTTTGGTCAATATTCAAGGGAAAATGCAAAAAAGTTGGTGTAAAAATGACCATTTCAATATTTAAAAGTAAAAAAGAAAAAAATATATATATAAATAAAAGGGCAATGTGTTCTCATAGAAATAAATCGTAAAATTAAGTTGGAATCAATTTTTTTGTTAAACCCCTATATAGAAGGCTGTTCCGAGGGCACAAATATTGGCATGGTGCCAAGAAATGATAATGGTTCATTTTTTGTTAATATTCAGGGATACATTTCTTAGAAAGTGACGCTTCTTTTTTCAGAATTTTGTGCATTTAAGAATCTCTCGGATATTATCCCAACAATATGTGAAATCCACCTTTGGACTCTCAAGGACAGAAAAGTTATATCGTAATGAAATTACCTCAAATTCAAATGATGGAAAAATTCATGATTTTATAAGTTTTACTTTTAACAGTAATTTTAATGAATTTTGTGTAAAATATTTACAAATATAAACGATGAAAATTATTTTTAATTTTATAAAAGCGATAAATATTTTTTTCCTGCTTTTCCTGTGAAAAAAAACGTATTTTACTATTTATTTAGATTTTGTTAGAATTATCTCCCCTGTTGCGCTCTTCTGTAGAGTAGGTAGATAATGATTATGTTTACGAAGTTTATAAACAGATGTCTGTCATCTTATCGTTTAAGGCATAAATTATGTGTGATTTGAAGAAAATTGTCCCTCCTGTGAATGTAATTTGTTACGTATATACTAGTGGCCTATGTATAAAATGCATAAAAAATTATGAAAACCATCGGGATCGATGTACGGTTCCGTAACCACGTGTAAACATTATGGCATCCTGAGACGTTTTTTTACCGTTTTGTACGTCCTCAGAAAAAGATTCAGGTGCGTGAATTGTTAACGAGTCTTCAGATTCTGGCTCTGATTTTGATGAATATGATTCTGACAGCGAACATTCATTTGGTAGCAAGACGGGTGTAGTGATGATGATACCGAATCAACAATGTTTGAATTTGAAAAAGAAACAGGTAGGTGGATCTTGGTTTATAATACTATGTACCTGATAAAAAGGCTTATTGATATGTAAAAAATAAATAAACAATTTTGATGGGGACTTGATTATGGACAAGAGAAGATTTTTTACAAGGCACTATCAGGTCTGGTACAATCACTCGATTTAGCTATATTAATCCTATATACGTAGCTTGATTTACCTACTTAGTTATAATAGCTTTATTTACCTACCTGAAGTAGCTTTATTTCGGCCTGCCTAATTGAAGACCTACAGGTAATTGAAGACCTAGAGAAGACCTACGGAAGACCTACAAAAATGGGGGATATATACAGCAAAACTGATATGATATTCTGATTAAGCATGTCCTAAATATGTAAAATACACAAAAAAGTTTTATAAAAAGAAGTTTTAAAGTGTATTTTTTAAGCTCGGTAATGGGAACTATTTCTTCTCTTAGACGACCTACGGCAAGAACGATAACTCTGGCTGACTTGTCTTGTAAACAACAACACGCTCATTTATATTGTGAAGTTTATAGGAAGAATATGTATATGACAAAATAAAAAAAAATTGCAAATGATTTTGTTGAGTTTTTCAATTATGAATTATGATAAAGAAATCAGCTGGATGATGAATTTTGATGAAGTTTAAAATATAAATAATTATCATGATTATTTCATTTATCAAATTAATCTTCTACTTGAAATCTATAGTTAATATTTAATAAATATTGTAATTCTTTTAATATGTTTTATTGGATAAATATTAAATATTCAAGTTCAAATTATTGATATGTATGCTGTGGATTTGTCTCAATTAACCAATATTACTCTGTACTAAGGGCTTCGATCTTCACTAATTTGTTGTATTATACACAGACACCCTGAGGATATATCCGTGTTTTGATTGCAATTTTCAGCACACCCCACTTGCTCTGATGAATGTTAATTTGTAGTCAACAGAGCAAAGATATAAAAAAAAAAATATTTATTTTATATCTTAAAAATGCTAGCAAGAATAAACAAATAAATGTGCATTTATTCAGAATATAACTTACTAAAATGAATTACGTTTTGAATTTTTTTTTTATTATTCAAAATGGTCATCTTTTTTCAATATAACACATTTATATGACATTCACGAGGAATATTTAATAGCTTAATTAGATGTATATTTCCAGATAACATGCTGTATGCCAAGAAATAGGCACTATAATATGAAACATAAGGTTTTATTTCTTTTACATTTTGAGCCAAAATATACTTGTACCATATAGTTATGTGTGATTTCTTTTGTTAAAAGTGTGGGTTTTCTGTACATGTACATTATATCAATCTTGAAGATACCAGGTATATCATTCAATAATTAAATTAAAAGAAAATACAAACTTTTTAAAATTGAATAAAATAATAAACATGCATGTTATCACACATAAGAAATGCATGCATATTTTTAAAAAAAATTATGATGCTTTGACTCGGGGGAAATAAGATTTTGAAGTGTTCTTGTGTTCTTCTTGAAAAATTACTTCAAATTCTTAAACTGCAATTTTAAAATTTCATTCTCTACATAAATACAAATCTTATAAAAATTTCCATATGTTATAAATGACATTACTAGGTATTATTAATAACAAGAACACAAATCATTCTATCACAATGAATTTTTATTAATGATCAACAAATTCAAACCTGAACTAAATGTTATACTGATCTATTTATAAACACATATAAAATACTAAATATAACGTATATACAAGTGTATGTATTTATAATGATTTTATGATTGACATATAATGGTATTATGTACAGTGTTTACAATTTTACTGATTTTAATAACTAATTTTTTTTTTTAACAAAATAGAATTGTATCTGACTGAATATTGCATTTTATTTTTTTTTTTTTATTTTTGATGTATGTGTATAAAATATCTCCAATTATTTTTTTTTTGTCCTTTAATATTATTTTTTAATTACATTTTTCTGATAATTACATTTTCTTGATATGTTTTGGTGAACAGCTGATTTGCTATTTACGCGAGTTATCGTTCTTGCTGTAGGTCTTCTGAGAGAAGAAATAGTTCTCATTACCGAGCTTAAAAAATACACTTTAAAACTTCTTTTTATACAACTTTTTTGTGTATTTTATATATTTAGGACATGCTTAATCAGAATATCATATCAGTTTTGCTGTATATATCCCCCATTTTTGTAGGTCTTCCGTAGGTCTTCTCTAGGTCTTCAATTACCTGTAGGTCTTCAATTAGGCATTCCCGCTTTATTTAGCTACCGAAGTAATTTATTTCTATAAAAAATACCTTCATAGCTAAATCTAGTGATTGTACTGGACCTGAATATATACCTAACAAACCTGTCAAGAGAAAGTTCAAGGTTGGTACTTGTACATGTAGCAATAAAAATATCTGTATAAATTCAACAATATTGCAAAATATTCACATCTACAAAATTATAAATAGCATAAGTAGCCTTTGTGGGGTGATGAAGAGGGACTGAAAAGTTGAATAGGTCCAGGGTTTTCAAAGACTGTTTACTAATAGGGTACATAAGGATTGGATAGGTAGGTGGGTCTTCACTGTCAATTAAATCACCATTATTGCCTCATATGTGGGCTGCATGATTATAAAGAATCTCATTAAACAAAATATTTTTTTCAGATATTTATGAAATGTTATGAAGATGGCTACAGTTATGATTTTCGGCTTTTCATATATGATTAAAGGAAAAAGAGTTGTCAAATACTTGTGCAGACTTTTCAAATTAAAGGTCACCATGTGTTCCTTGACAGGTTTGTGTTTAAAACAACTAATATTATAAATATAAGTCTGGGGAATTATACTTTGTAAACAATATTTCCTTTCATTCTTCTATTTGTCGTGCAATTTCAGATTATTCAAATTCATTTCCCTGGTTAGGGCTGGGCTTTACAATGGGATTTTCAGCTGTGGAGCTGTAAAGAATTACTACATTATAAGGGTTTCCAATGTAGCTTTGTGAACAGAATCCAGAAATAAGAAGAGGAGAGATAATGCAGATGCAGCATTAGCATTACCAATTACTTACCACTGCTGAGAAAATGGTAAAGATATGTTATATTATTATACCTCTACTGTAATAACTCTGTATAAATTAATACCATAAAAAAAATCTCTATTTCCCCAAGAAGTGACTATTGCCCTCATCTGAAGACTACACCCTGGAAAATCAGAGCTACTCCCTGGGACTACTCCCTCATGAATATTTATTAGTAATTTTAACCAATCAAAGTGTTCAGTGGGTGGAGCGTTCAAGGAATCTCGAGTATGTGACGTCATGTTATTAGCAATGTAGCTATGACGTCAAAACATTTCGACGTGCGATGTCAAAATCATACTTGAATTCTACCAAGATGAAGACAATGATAATTTTTCAAAATGTCAGTGAAAATACTTTTTAAAAAATAATTTAATTGTTTGAGGACACGATGCTTCACTTATCATACAATGTGTTAAACCGCATGCATTTGTAATTATGCCTCTACAGTTTTTTTCTTTTAAATGTCGGAATATCTGGTTAAAAAAATTTAAATCGCCTATCATTGTTTCAGTATAATAAAAAAGTTATGGAATGGGAACTCAGGAAATAGCAAATTTAAAGTTTCCCTCGTCAGAGAACTATTTCCTCCGGGAAATAGTTTCCTCCCTCGGGAAATCATAAATTTGCTATTTCCGTCATACCCATTTCATAACTGTATACTATAGTACATGGATAGGAATGGCCTTGTCTGTCTGTCGATTTGCCACATGCATTTTTCCCTACTCTGTTACTTTACTTCAAGGGTATATGAAGCTCTTGTTTTCTTCAAAGATAGCCAGAAGAATTTGTGAAGAATCTTATCCAAGTCATTTGATGACATTTTCTTCAATTGATAAATATAAATGTAGCATTATCATAAACATGACAATTATTTTAAAAATCTTAGAATATGTCTAGTATGGTTTATTTCAATTTAATTTGAAAACTGTCCTTTTTCACAGGTACATGCTTTGAGTACTACTTTTGTGTATTTGGAGACAGTCCAGTTGTTCTTTAAACCAGAAGTGGAAATTTCAGTGCTTTTTAAATTTTCTCCAGAAGTTATTTGATGCTACATCAGAAGAAAATGGGGTTATACTGAACAGAATATTTTGGATACACCTTATAGATTTTGAAAGCTTGAGACCTCAAGATCAACCCAAATGGTGTACCAAACATGAAGAAAAAAAGACAGTTTATGATTGAAGAAGCTTGTGTGGTAGCCAAAATTTCAGGGTATTTCATATATGTTAACTTGTACGATTTTATTGGTACATGTACTTAAACATTGTTAATATCTTGATATTTAATATGTATCAGGTTTCACTTGCAGGAATACACAAAAATTCAGAGTAAATTTTAAGTGTTTGTTATGTTAGAAAAGATCAAAGTTCAAGGTCAACAGTGCTTTAGTTTTACCAAATATAACACTATTATAAAGACTAATTTCCTGTGTACAGGTATAGCAAATTATTCAGAATATGATTTGGGGAAACTGTGATTTTTTTCTTTTAAATCTTACCTTAATGTATACTTAAGCAAGTAGATTTTTTTCAAGCAGACAAAATTTCAAGATCATTTTAATTTTGGAAGTGAATATAAAATATCAGGAAGCAGTCAAGCATTGTAATTTTTTGTTGTTGAATGTACTTAGTTAGTGAGTAATATTCAAATTTTTATCTGCAATGAAATTAAAAATTATAAATGATTTAATTTGTTGATTTTTAAAACTTCATGTTCATTCATTTTGAGTTTGTTGCCATGACAATATGTCTGTCAAGAAAATGGCTCTGATATTCCTTTTTGTTCAGTTTGACCCTTGACCTTTGACATTGTGACCTCAAAATTTAAAGGGGTCCTCTACTTTTCAAGAAACCAATGTACTAAATTTGATGTCTGTCAAGCAATGGGTCCTCAAGATTTTGAATGATTAAAATCTACATACTGGTATATAGAGAATTATAACCCTTGACCTTTGACCTTGTGAACTCCAAATTAAAAGGGGCCATCTACTTATTAGTAGATACCAATGTACTGTTTATTATCTATCAAGAAAATGTTTTGTTTTTTTTTAAGATAAGAGAGAGCACACTTGGTCTACTGATTGACAAACAGGTACTAAGCAGTATGTGAATATCACCCTGCTCAAAGAAAATGTAAAATACAATTCTGGTAACCCCCCCCCCCCCAAATTAACCCCATTCAACCCCCTAAGAAATAATTATTGATTGAAAACAAAAATGCACAATATACTGGTATTTTTCAACAGCAAAATTTAAATTTTGGAAAATATTTAAATCAGCAAAATAACTCCTTGCTGAAGTTCAGGGATGAGAAAATTTGAAAATTCACAAAAAATGTCCAACTTTAAGTAAAAAGTACAGCAAAATAGTTGAGAGTCCAAAGACAGATTTTTTATATAATGTAGACAGACATGTTGTCTAATAATTGGTATGAGATAGAGTTGATTCTAAGCGTCACTTTCTGAGTTATAGGTTTTTGAAAAGTGAATATTTTCACCAGTTTTCAAAAATCTTGAAATATGCCAGATTTGTGACCTTTTTGCACTTAAACGAGGGCACAGTTTGTGATTATGAAAAATTTTCTGAAACAAGTGTATCTTGTTACTTTCAACCATATATGGATATTTTATATAATTATCAAGTAAAATGCTGAATTTATAAATATAAAATCCTATAAAATTCCTGTTTTCACCATGCGTAAGGATCAAGAATTCTATTTTTAGTAACAGTGTCGATTTAACCCCTTAAGTGAGACCACACTGAAAAAAAATTTGTGGCAAAATATTTCATATTATAGGAGAAATTTACACACAAAAATTGAAGTTGATCAGAGAACCTTGCTCCCATAACCTCTTGCATGGTTTTCTCGTAGACATGCTCTTAACAGTAGTGAAGGAGAAACTTCAAGAGTACTGTGCAACAATATATTCAAGAAGTGGTGTAAATCAGATGTGAATACAAAAAAATTCCAAGGAATTTTTGGACAATTTGAAATCACAAAGATTTTACCAAAATCAACAGCTGAAAAACACGAATTTTCAACTTTATACACAACATCCCCTCCTTGCTTTTTGGTATCATTGACATCTGCTTTTTCAATAAAAAAAAAACTCATAAATTTACTTACTGTGTCATTGGTCATTTGCAAAACTATTTTATTAAAAACATTCTGATTGTACACACAAGCACTCTGAAGTTGACATCAAAAAGATGCTTGAGTTTATGATTGACAATATCTATGTGGTTTTTAGAGACAAGGTTTTCCAACAATCAATTGGAATACCCATCGGTACCAATTGTGCCCCGTTATAAGAAGACCTATTTTTGTATTCATATGAAGCAAAATTTGTCCAAAATCTTGTAAAAAGAAGAAAACACTTGCTGTGGCCTTCAGCTCGACATTTAGATTTATCGACGACGACGATATGGGAAAGGAAAAACGTTTCTTTACTCCAATATGCGGACGATCTGTACTGTTCTGAGATGGCTCAGAAAAAGTCTAAAAAGTGCACTTGACCTACTTTTTTCAATTTTCTAAATTTTCTGGTTTAAAGCCTAATATTAGTAAAACTAAGCTATTTGGATTGGCTCAAAACTTGGTTCAAATGGAATACTGTGTGATTGTACAGGTCTGAGTTGGACTAATCAACCATTTAGAAAATTGGGTATCCCTTACACTGCAAAATTTAAAGAAATGGAACAGCTGAATTTTGATAGCAAATTAGTTGAGATTAAAAAAGAAATAACACTGTGGTCTAAAAGACATATTACCGCACTGGGCAAAATAACAGTTGATAAAAGTGTTTCACTATCCAAACTCAGTGCTTTGCCTACACCAATTGCACAGAAGATTAAAATAACTAGAAAACATACTCTTTAAATTTATTTGGGGCGTTATACCTGATAAAATCAGCTGAAAAACATTACAGTTAGATTTTTAGAAAGGTGGATGCAGAATAACTAATTTTGAAATATTCATAAAATGTCTCTTCAACTTACTTGATTCAGGAGAATATTTTCTACAAATCAACGCAGTGGAGTCTTATTTACAGAAATTACTGGATGTAATGTCACACAGATGTGTCAATTTGGGTCAGAGTACATTAACAAAAATTTAAGTTAATTTCCAATTGTTTTAGGAGAGAAACACTTTCATATTTTACAGATTTTATTCATATTTGTACATCAGTTTCTGCAAAACAGGATAAGACACTTTAAGACCCTTTGTAGTACAATGAAAGAATAAAAATACAAAACTAAAGTTTTTCCCCCCTCATAAATCTTAATATAGAAAAAGATTCCATATAGTTTCTGACTGCATGCTTATTAGTCATGGCACTTTTATTTCTTATGAAAGATTATTTAATGTAAAAATGCCCTTTACCAGTCCATATACATGTACATGTATGAAGGTCTTAACTCTTAAGCATGCTATTTTATGTGCAATGCCAGAAGAAAAACGTCTGGATCCTTTTTTTCAGTAACAAGACCAGTCCAGCTTGAGTTTGTAATAATTTTGAGTAAAGATACTTTAAAGGATCTAGAAGAATATATGATTCGTTTATGTCTCAAGGACAACATAAACCTATATGTGGAAAGAAATGGACAAACAATGTATCACTACAAGATGATTTTAATTGGAAACTAGAGGTACGCTGAGCAATGAACTCACTAAATGATACCCCCACCTCCCATATGAATATAATGGAAGTGTCCATGTTTCATCAAATTTTATTCAGCGGTATGAGAGGAGTTGCGGATAAGAGATGGGTACCGCAAAGCGTAACAGTCAGACGGACGGACAAACCGATTACTATATACACTCCCGCTTTTCAAGCGGGGGTATAACAAGTGTATATTCATCTTTAAAATCTAACCAAAGAAACAACATTGTTTTGGTTTCAATATAAAATTTTACATCGAATTATACTTGGTGAGAATAAATATTTTAATTACATACTTAGTAAATATAGGATTTTCGCATATGCTGACGTCACAATAGCCGTATCAGCCCTACAGGGTTGATATGGATTTGGGGGGCTGATATAGGCTATCAGGTCTGCAGGGCTGATACGGATCATATCACACTCCTAGTAATTAAACCTCGTAAAAGAGTACTTGTGATGATACACATATTTTGGGGGTTACATAATTCTCTTAGTTTTAACTTTTTGAACGTAATGATAATCTAACTGATAAATAATATATTATTTTAAAATTACAGATTGGGGATATTTGAAATAGAAGTACATGCAGAAACAAACCGAAACTGTATGAGACATTATACTGTGTACATTTTAAAAAGGCCATGCAGGATTATTTACTTATTTTCTTCTCAACTTAATGTGTTCTGTATTTTATTCCTAAGTATGTAATAAATATAATAAAACATACCCTTTTCCACATCACATCCTGTATCAGCCCTCGACTAATATCAGCCCTCGGGCCTTCGGCCCTCTGGCTGATATTGGTGTCTCGGGCTGATACAGGATGTGATATGGAAAAGGGTATGTATTATTTTCTATGTATTTTTCAAAAATTACTGATAATCAACAGTGTGCACGGTGCTGGCATGAACCTGAGACACTAAAGCACTTATTTTTTTAATGTAATTTTAATAAGGTAATCTGGTCATCCTTCGAAGATTGGATTTGTTCAAAATCTGGTAGAACATTTCAATTTAATATACAAAATGTAATGCTCTGTACTGCAGACATTGATGAGGGTTTGGATATTATTATTGTATTAGTAAAGAAATATATCTTTCAAACGTCAAGAAAAAAGTGTACCATTTTATTTAATGATTTATTTTTGCACCTCAATTATTTTTTGGAAAAAAAAACTTATATGGCTTGGAACTACATATATTTAAAAAAAGATGGTCAAATTGGAAATTTCTTTTTCAAAGTAATGATTTAGCATAGGAGTTTTATACTACTACATTTTTTATTGTATTATTGTAAACTTATGTAAGACTGATATTTATTTCACCACCCTTCCACATGTATTTGTAGGTGTGTTTTTGAATGAAAGCGTGTATCTGCATGTGAGTTTGTCGTTAAATATATTTGAATGTTTGCTTCTGAATATATATGTAATTTGTTTGTTTCTGTAAATAAATAAGTAAAAAAAAATATTGACAAACAAGTTGACGAAACAAGAATATAAGCAGTCTCGTTAAAAGTTATCATTTCGTAAGCTCTATGGTCGATACTTTGACCTTGACAACGAATACAATTTATTACTGAGTCAAATGATGACTTTTAGTTTTCATACTAATACTGTTAGTCCATTATTTATACATTGAACTGACGACGGATTTTCCCGTTATTTCCCGCTCATGACAGGGAGCACATGGTGGGTGTGACCGGTCGGCAGGAGATGCTCACTTCTACATGATACCTGATCCCACCTTTGATGTTTTGGTGGTCCGTGTTTGCTCTGCTCCTGTTTTGTATTGTTTTATGGACTTTTGATCTTGAATACTGTTCGTTATCCCCATATGTTTCATCCAATCAAATGACGCATTACAACCAAAATTGAATTATAGTATCTTGAACTGTCTTCCGTGATGTAAACCTTGCTCAGGTCCATCAGTGTTAAACATCAACGAATGTAAGCACCCCCCATTGTGTGACGTAAGCGGTACAACATCTCATCGACCAGTCCAACATCTAACTCAGCGGTCAAACCTCGTTTTCTTTATGTTGGCTTAGGAAAAAATTTA